TGGTGATGATGATGATGGTGATGATGATGATGACGGTGATGACGGTGATGATGATATTGATGATGATGGTCATGTTGCTGCTGCTGTCGATGATAGTGTAATTACTGCTGCTGATGATGATGGTGATGATGATGATAACGATCATAATCATGATAATTATCACGTATATTTTCAGAGCACAACAAGTGTCAGCCCAATCCATGCAGAAACGGAGGATCGTGTACCGAGGTGGACGATGGATTCGAGTGCGCATGCCCACCAGAATACAAAGGACCGTCATGCGAAGGTATGTGACGTAATACATACACATGACTTATACATATTTGTACTAAGACGTCCTGACACTAACGTTGTTACCTTTGCGCATGCTCTATAGTTCAAAACCACTGCTACATCAGTCCGTGTCTTAATGGCGGCACATGTCTCTCGAGTAGTCTTAGCTCTTTCTCGTGTTTGTGTGGGGATGGCTTCAGCGGTCAATCTTGTGAAGGTCAGTTGATCGTTACGCGCGTAGCTATGAAAAAAAGTCAATCCTATCCGTATTATAGTTTATAAAATAACTGTTATAAATATCGCGTTCTGATTGGTTGGGAGCGCGTGCTTTATGAGAGCTCAAAGGACAAGCGCGCACTTTCAGTTGCGTCATTACGATACTCTGCTACGCTTCGTGCTTCTTTTAACTATAGTAATCACGTGATGGTACGGTTCACTCTCGAACGCAAAACAATACCTTTATTCTATGGAGTTTCCAAACTATTCCGCTCCATTACTATGTCCTACACTTCTCTCGTGTTCTGCCAACCCCCGTGTGCTTCATAACTGCAAACATCAAACGCGCGTGTTTTCTATTTCTTTAATAGTATTAACGATTGATATCTTGATTGATTTGTTTCAGTTGAGAGTAAATGTCGCAATCAGCCATGTAGAAATGGTGGAACTTGTTTTGATCATCATAATTCTTATACCTGTGCTTGTACGAACGGGTTCTCGGGAGTCAACTGCGATAGTAAGTAGCAATGTTTTAGTACCACTACATAGACCACTCCATGGTAATACAGGGGTAAAGAGTGAATGAACAGACAGAAAGACAGACTAACAAAGCCACTAAACAACTATAAACAAACAAATAGCAGATAGATGAAAAACGGATGGACAAAAACTCAGAAAGTTAAGTAAGGCAAACGAAAGAAGAAACCAAAAACAAACGAACGAAGCAAGCACACATACAGACGTCAGACAGACAGACAGACAGACAGACAGACGGACGGATGAACGCATGCGCACGGATAGACGAACAGATAATCAAAGAAATTGATAAACAAGCAAACAGAACATTAGCTAAGCTTTACTCATCTTGTCATTTTCTACAGCTATGATATCAGCTTGTGATTCTAATCCATGTCTAAACAGCGGCTCGTGTATAAACCAGGGTCCCAATATCTACAGATGTATATGTCAACACGGGTTCAAGGGAAAAAACTGTGAAAGTAAGTTCATACGGTATGAAATAATCTTAAGAAAACCTGCGCAAAAAAACTTATCATTTTTCAAAACAATAGTAATAACAATAATCTTTATTCCCATTTCCATATTATAAATATTTACATATATA